CACTCATGCACTGTTAATGGGATTGTAAAACAGTACAATCACTGTGGAAGATGGTTTGACATTTCCTCAAAAGGCTGAACATAGAAACCCTGTATGACCCAGCTATTCCACTACTAGGAATTTACCACAAAGAAAATAGAATTGAGACACAAAGGGAGATCTGTACACCAATATTCATAACAGCATTATTCACCATTACAAAAACATAGAAATAGCCCAAATGTCCAACCACAACTGAATGGATTTAGAAATTGTGGTACATTCACACAAAAGAATATTATGTAGCACTCAGGAGCAATGATTTTGAGAAATACCATGCAACTTGGGAGAGACTGAAAAGAATTATGCAGAGTGAACTAACTCAGTCTCATAAGGACAAGTACTGCATAAGACCATTATTATAAAAATATATAAAGGGTGTTGTTGTTATGTGTCATCGAATTGCTTACTACTCATAGCAACCCTGTGTAGAAGAGCCCTAAATACCATTCTATCCTGTGCTAACCTCGCTGTATGAAACACACTCATTCCCACCACTCCAGTCACAGAATCGATCCATCTCATCAAAGGTCTTCCTCTTCTTTACCGCCCTCCACTCTGCCAAATATAATGTTACTTTTCAAGGACCTGTCCCTCCTTTCAACATGCCCAAAGTATGTCAGATGAAGCTTCAGAATCCTTGATTCCAAGGAACATTGCGGCTTCACCCTCTCCAGGACAAACCTATTTGTCCTCCTAGCAGTCCATGGTATATTCAACACTCTTCTCCAGCACCACAGCTCAAAGGCATCAATTCTCTTTCTATCATCCCTTTTCACTGTCCAACTATCCAAAGCATAGTACATAATTGCAAAGACTATAGCCCGGATCAGGCGCACCTTAGTCTCCAGCCTGATGTTGTTGCTCTTCAGTACTCTTGAGAGGTCCCTCACAACTGACTTTCCCAATGCAGTTCTTCTCCTGATTTCCTGGCTGCTGTTACCAAGAGTGTTGACTGTGGAGCCAAGTAAACTAAAACTGTTAACTATCTCAATCTCTTCACCATCCATACTGATGTTGCCAATTGGCCCAGTGGTGAGAATCTTTGTTTTCTTGATGTTGAGCTTCAATCCATATTGAAGGCTGAAGTCCTTGACCTGCTGGCAGCAAGCGCTTCAGGTCTTCCTCAGTTTCAGCAAGCACGGTTGTGTCATCTGCATAACGCAAGTTGTTGATGATTCTTCCACCGATCCTGATGCTACATTCCTCCTCGTACAGCCCAGCGTCTCGGATGATCTGTTCTGCACACAGATTGAAAAGGTATGGAGACAAAATAAATCCCTGATGGACCCCCTTCTTGATTTTGAACCATGTAGTGTCTCCTTGCTCTGTTCTGACGACTGCCTCTTGGTCCAAGTATAGGTTTTGCATTAGCACAATCAAATGTTCTGGGATTCCCATTCTTCTCAGAGTCAGCCATAGCTTGTTGTGATCCACACAGTCAAAAGCCTTTGCATAGTCAATGAAGCACAGATAGACACTCTTCTGGTATTCTCTGCTTTCTGCCAAGATCTGTCTAACATTAGCTATAATATCCCTAGTACCATGGCCTCTTCTAAATCCAGCCTGCACATCTGGCAGTTCTCTGTTGACATATTGTTCCAAATGTTCTTGGATAATTTTCAGCAGAATCTTGCTTGCATGTGATATTAATGATATTGCTCAATAATTTCCACACTCTGTTGGGTCACCTTTCTTTGGAATGGGAACAAATATCGATCTTTTCCAGTCAGTTGGCCAGCTGGATGTCCTCCAGATTTCTTGGCATAACTTAGTGAGCACATCCAGGGCAGCGTCTGTTTGTTGGAATAAATCATTTGGTATGCTGTCAACTCCTGGAGCCTTGTTTTTTGCCAATTCCTTCAGAGCAACTTGAACTTCCTCCTTCATCACCATAAGCTCTTGATCAGTAGCTGGAAAACATGAGTTCAGTGAGAAAAATGAGGCTGGAGATAGAATGATAGAGTTCTGCACATCAATGATTTATTCATTGCAAATACCTTTTATAAGAAACATAAACGCCGGCTATACACATAGATCTCACCTGATAGTATGCATAGGAATCAAATCTATTACATTTGTGGAAAGACTCACTGGAGAAACTCAATATCAGCAGTGAAGACCAGGCCGGGTGCTGATTGTGGGACAGACCACCAACTACTCATATGCAAATTCAAGCCGAAGTTGAGGAAAATTATATCAAGTGCACAGGAACCAAAATTTGACCTTGAGTCTGTCCCACTAGAATTTCAAAATTATCTCAGGAACAATTTGAGGCCTTGAGCACCAATGAGCATAGACCAAATGAGCTCTGGCAGGATATCAAGAAAATCATCTATGAAGAATGCAGAATATCATTACAAAGGCTGAAGAACAAGGAAACCAAGATGGATGTCAGATGAGACTCTGAGTATTGCATTAGAGCACCGAGAAGCCAAAGCTAAAGGAAGAAATCAAAGAGCTGAACAGAAAATGTCAAAAGGCAGCTCGGGACGACAAAGCAAGATACTATAATGAAATGTGCAGAGAGCTGATTTAGAAAATCAAAAGGGCCGAACTCGCTCAGCGTTTCTTAAGCTGAAGGAGTTGAAAAATTCAAGCCACGGGTAGTAATACTTACGGATACTTTGGGTAGAATGTTAAATGATCCAGGAAGTATCAAAAGAAGATGGAAGGAGTACACACAGTCACTGTAACAGAAGGAATTGGCTGACACAGAAGAATTTCATGAGATAACATATGAGCAAGAGAGATAAAGGAAAATAACCCAGTTAAAAAATGGGCACAGGGTATGAATAGACACTTCACCAACGAAGACATTCAGATGGCAAACAAATACATGAAGAAATGTTCAAAATCCCTAGCTCTAAGAGAGATGCTAATCAAAACAACTATGAGATATCATCTTACCCCAGTAAGAATCACAAAATTTAGCAGAACAGCAAACATTAAATGCTGGCGAGGTTGTGAAGAAACTGGAACCCTTATTCACTGCTGGTGGGAGTGTAAAATGGTGCAACCCCTATGGAAGGCAAATAGAGATACCATTTGACCCAGCAATTCCACTACTAAAAATTTACCATAAAGAAACCATAACTGCCACCCATGTGTATTGTGGCTTTATTTGCAATAGCAAAGAGCTGAAAACAACCCAAGTGCCCATCAACAAATGAATGGTAAGAGAAGTTGTGGTACATTCACACAATGGAATACTATGCAGCATTGAAAAACAAGGAACTCGTGAAATATTATGCAAAATGGATGACCCTGGAGGACTTAATGAGTGAAATATCTCAGTCACAAAAAGACAAATATTGCATAGGGCTACTGTTGTAAAACGGGACTGACATCAAGGTTGAGGGAAGACAGAAAAGGAGGGAGGAATGATGTATATTACATTGAAACATTATGAGGGAGAGAACTGTTTAAAAGGGATATATGAATGGGTATTCTTGTCATTATTATAGTCCAGAGTGAAGGCTGCATAGTGGAGTGGATGGAGGGGGGAGTGGAGGGATTGCATAACAATGAAAGAGGTTTTTCTTTCTTTTCAAGGAGGAGAGTGAATTGGAGGGGGCGGTGAATAGGGAGAAAAGTGCAACAATGAATGACTGGAAACCCTAAGTCTTTGTAAACTTTCAGTAAAATTAATTTAAAAACTTAAAAAAAATAGAAGGATAACTACTAAAACATGTATGGGGACACAAGAGAGGAAGAAGTGGGAGTGGAAGAGTGAGGACCAGTAGGGGTAAAACCAGCGCGTTGCATAGTTTGGTGTGTGGAGGGAGGGGGTGAAGGAAATGGGAAGGATCTGGTGGAGATCTGAAAAAAACAGAGTAATCATGGCCAAGTTCCAATAGTGATTAATTTTATAAAACAATGCATGAGAATGATTGTGTAAAACACAATATGAATTAAGAATAGGGTAAAACACAATGTATATGAACTTTGTAAGCAAACCAATATAAAATTAAACAAAAAGAAAAAAATTGAAAAAAATCAAGGGATCTAAAATGTGTACAAGGAAAGATTATTTCAAGTTGGGAAGTAATATGGGAAATAGGTGCTTTCTTCATGTGGGGCCAAGATCTTCATAAATAAGACACAAATCTTTAAAACTATAAATTAAAAGATTAACAAATTGAAGATATAAAAGTTTAAAATTACTATAATGTAAAATAAGTCAAAATGTCAAAAACACAAATTACAAACTTGAAAAACACATTCAATTATTAAATGTAGAAAAGATTCGTATCACTAATATATAAAGAGCCCATCTACAATACAAAAGATCAAACTGTCTCCATAAAATTTGAAAATTCACACAAGAGGAAATACAAAGGCCAGGAAAAAATGCTACAAATTCAAGTCGAGAACAAGTCATAAACAAGCTGGGTCATATTAAAATGAATGACAACATCCAGTAGACTCAGGAATCGTCAGCACTCAACCACCCCTTGGTCAGAAAAAAAAAAAGAGAGAGAGAGAGCTTTCCCAGTCCTTGGAAAAGACATCATGCTAGACAATGTAAAGGGTCAGTGAAAAACGAAGGCTCTTGTGGAGATGAATTGACACAATGACTATAACAATGGACTTGAGCATGATAGAAATTTTGAGGATGGTTCATGATAAGATGAAGTTCAGATCCATTGCTATGAGTCATAGTAGACTTGAGGGCAGGTAACAACAACTTCTTTATACCCACTTGACAGTATTCTATATTTTTCCTAGTCTCTCTCCTTTCTTAAAATCATGAGTCTACAATGAGAGCAAGAGTTTATTCTGCTGCCAGGATTTCTATGTACTGGTGTCCTCAGTGCCTAGAACAATGATTCATAGCACATGGTCAGTAAATGTTTGAGAATGATGACTAGATTCATCTGTGTCTTGGAGAGGAGATGGCTAGGTTCCCAGGATATGCCTTTTTTGAGTTGCAGAGTTGTCAACTCCTACCCTCATAGGTGACTCAGCTGTTCTCCTTCGAGCTATTGGAAACCAAATCCGGGACCAGCTAGCTTTACCCTGGATCCCATCACTCCTTCGTACTTCAAACCTGGCATATATACAGGTAGGTCCCTCTAACTCCTTTCATTCTATGTCTCTGCCCTGACTTCTTTGTCTCCATGTGAATTTTCAGATATTTAACCCCCTCCCTGACATACTTCATCCTGGAGTCTTTAACTTTATCCCCCTTTCCCAACCAGGGCTCATCCTTCCAGAAACCTTTCCATGCCAGTAGGCTGATCATGCCCAAGTTGAGTTCTAGAGGTGGTGAGTGTGGGGAATGGTTGGGTAGAGGTGGACCTGGCTTCATTATGAGGGGAAAGAGCTTGCTGACTCTATGATTGATCCCAGAGGCACGAGTGTTCCAGGAAAGTCCCCTGCTGCCACCAGCCCCCACTCAGGTACCCAAGCCTGCTGGGAGAGTGGCATCCTTCCTTGAATGCCATGCCCTTCAGCTCTGCCAGCAGACGATCCAGGACCACGCAGGGGATGAGGATTGGCTCCGCCGGGCATCCCTCCTCCCACCCCAGGTACAGTTTAATGTGCCATTGTGGTACCTGTTTACTTTAGCTTCAGTTTCTCTTATAGATTCTTTGTCTCTCTCTTCTATTGTTTCTTCTCTGTGTTCCCAATCATGCTCCCTACCTGAGAGAACTGGAGTATTGAAATCAGAAACACTTTAGACCTTGGAGAAGTCAGTATCTTAGGTCGAGTTCTCTTAAGAAGCAAAACTTATGAAGCATGTGTGTGCGCGCGCACGTATAAAGAGATATTTATTTCAAGGAGATAGTTCATGAATTTATAGAGGCTGTCAAGTCCCAGATCTCTAGGAGAAAAACATCTGCTGAGGCTAATGAGTCTAAGGTTGGCAAGCAGGGGACCCTGACTTTGGAAGCTGATGGGTCCAGGTTTGGTAAGAAAGGCTGCTGGTTCAGGTCCAGCCGGATTCTGGATCCAAATTTGTCAAATGCTAGCTAGATTTTCCAAGACAGCCTATACACATATTTGATGTAAGCCATGCCCCTGAGGACTTCCACTATTATGAGTGCAGATCATATTATAACATAACTGCCTCTAATTATGCCCCATTAACATAATAAAAGTTAGGATTTATTATACTGAGAATCATGGCCACATTGACACACATTATTAACCATTATAATCAGTATCCCTTCTTACAGCCTCTGTTTCGTATTCATAAAAACTGGGTCATAATAGTACACTCCTATTAGGATAGTGGTTACAAGGAAATCACGTGCACTAAGTTCCTAATAACCAGAATCATTGGGATTGGGCACCTTCTTCTGTGTTTCTTCAACCTTCTTGTCCCCTAGACTCTCATTCTGTCTCTGAGGTTCATTTTTTCTGTTTCTGCTTTTCAGCATTATCTTTTCCTGTCACAGTCTTTCACATTCTGTGGTTTGGCTATTCTTCTTTCTCTCTGTCACCTCTTTTTCTTCTCTATACCTCTGTATCTATCTTCCTTTCCTCTCTGCCTCTTTACCTGTCTCTTCTGTTTCTGTCCATCTTTCAGGATGCCATTTGTCTCATCTTGATCTTTCTTAGAATTTATTCTAATGAATCCTATGTATCTATCATCTACCTTCAACCATAAGCATTTTGTCAGCCTTTTTTCATTTATTCCTTCTAGATTTCTTCTTTCTTTACTTTTTTAAGGCAAATTTCCAGATATCATGTCATTTCAACTCTAAAAATGTAAAAATGTATCTCTTAACTCATAGATATTATTTTTTAAATGTAATCATCAGATAATTTTGACCCCTGATAAAATTAATAGTGGTATCATCTATTACTGCATTCATAATTAGATTCCCCCATTGCTTCCAAACGGTCTCTGTTCTTATCTTTCATTCTTGCCCGACTGTTCTACTCTCTTTGATGCTGTCCCTTTCTTTGCCTAACACTTTCATTGACTATCTCTGCTCTGATCCCACATATCTTTTGTCTGATTTGGGAGCTTCCTGCTTGCTTCTTTCTCTTTTTATATCCTTTTCCAGTATGAGGAACACATGGGTAAAGATAAGTGTGGCTACAAGGAAGAGGAAATTTCTTTCTTCAGGAAGAGTTTAGAATAGAGGAACAGAAGAGTGGGTCAGGGGCCAGCCTAGGTGAGAAATGTTTTAGTTTATCTGTAGCTTTTGTAAGTTTCCTGGAGAAATCTTAGGTGTCCAGCAGGTTTGTATGCCCTTCTGTTTAACCCTGCCCTCTATTTCCAGGAGGACACACGGACACAGAGGCAGCGACTGCAGAAGCATCTGGCTGAGCACCTGCACCAAAGCTGGAGTTCACTTGGGGTCCCTCCACAAGCCCAAGATTTGGGAGAGCTATTGCAGTCCTGGAGTACTGGCACTAGAGCTAGTGCCACCAAGGACTCTCACTTCACACATTCAGAGAAGTTCCCCTTCCATCTGGTAAGTGGAGCCAATGTGGAGCTGTGGCATGCTGCCAGGAGCTAGGGCAAGTGTGAAAGATTGCCTTATGTTCTGTTACCACAGCTCTATCCATAAAGGCTCATATGTTGCCCTGGATAAGTCCTTTCCTTACTAAGAGTGGTCACTCAGAGTATTCTCTTGACTTTTCCAGACATCTCAGCAGAGAAAAGTTGGATGAGTAGTCACCTTGTAAGGGTTGTAGGGGTGCTTTTTGTCCAAATACTACCTTTACCCAGGCATTTTTGTCTGGGCATACCTTTTCTCTTTAAATGTTCACCTAGCAGGGCCTCTGTCCTCAGGGCAACTGGGCTTCAGAGATGAGATGAAAGCTATATTAGGGTCAGGGAGGACTTTATATGCAAATGCTTTAGCCTGAGGTTGCAACTAATGTATTTATCCTCATCCAGTAATGTTTGACAGTGTCAACATTAGTGGTCATGGTTATGGTGCTGCAAGAGTGCTTGGTGAGCCCAGCTGAGGCTGGGCTCTGAAGGACAGGGGTTTCCCTGACAGTTAAGATGCTTTCTTTTTACTTCCTTAGGAACCTGAGGCCCAGACAGCTGATATGCTGTCCAGCTCCCTACAGCCTGAACAGGTGAAGAGAGTGGGAATGAGGGGTCAGAGAGAAGTGTCTCAACCCTTGCTGGTTCTATCAATTTGGCCTCATCATCCTTCCACTGGCTTGTGTTTCCAGGACAATTGGGCAGCTCAGGAACAGGAGCTAGAGTCCCTTCGGAAGCAGCTGGAAGGAATGAATCACAGCATTGAAGAAGTTGAAACTAACATGAGGACACTAAGAATCAGCCTTGTGCAGGTGAGAGGGTATGGAGGGAGGGCTGCTTGGCTAGGGTAGGGCCAGAAGTAGGAACTAAAGGGGTTAGAATGACAGAGAGAGATGTTGTTGTTGTTATATGCTATTGAGTCACCTGTGACTTACGCGGCCTTAATGTACAACGGCTCTGAAGCCTGCCCTGTCCTGAGCCAGTCTCACTGAATCTGACACAACTACTCCCATTAACCCAGAGAGGTCATTAATATAGGTCTGCAGCTAGATGGATTTATTGGGGTTAGATGAGGGACTTGTGGAGAATCTTCGTGTTAAAAGAGGGGCAGTTATGCAGTACCAGAGAGACTTGCAGTTCTAGAAGCTGGTAGGTCTATAGAGGTTAAGTAGCCTGTAGGCTTCAGTCTGTGTAGGTGTCTGTAAGGATCAAGAGGAGTGTGAGGGTCTGTGAAAATCAGAGGAGTCTGTAAACGTCTGTGAGGCAAGATGAGTCTATAAGGTCAGGAGCTTGTGGGAACTTTTAAGAGAATTTTAGGGGTCATAATGGATCTGTAGAGGTTAGAGGGATCTGTGAGTGCCAGTCATTGTAAATATCTGTTAGTAGCAGAAGAGGTTCAAGGGCCTTATAGGGAATAGAAGAGTTGAGGTGTCAGAATAAACCAAGACATTCTGGCTCAGTATGCTGGTGGGATGGAGTGCGTGACTAGGCTCCTCCATTAATTTGGGGCTCATGGTGCAGGTAGAGACTGAGTGTCAGCAGAGTGAACTCAGCACTGCAGAGCAGGAACAGGCCCTGCGCCTGAGGAGTCGGGCAGTGGAGCTGTTGCCTGATGGAGTGGCCAACCTCATTAAGCTACAGGTAGTAGGGCTGGGACTGAGCTGGGAGGATTGGGGCTGAAGGGGCCCAGAATGTGTGACATGTATTTCATCTACTCCACCCAGCTTGTGGTAGAGAGTAGTGCCCAGCGGGTCATCCACCTGGCAGATCAGTGGGAAAAGCACCGAGTCCCACTCCTTGCTGAATACCGCTACCTGCGGAAGCTACAGAATCACAGAGAGGTAGGTTGTGGAGTCCTGAGGCATAGGTGAGGTAGGTTTGGTCCTTCTGTAAGAAGTCATCTCTGTTCCCTGCTTACTGTTCTCTGGCCATGGGGTCTTGGATAGGTGGAATCATCCCGAAGGCTGGCTGAAATCCAAGAACTACACCAGAGTGTTCGAGTAGCTGCTGAAGAAGCCCGTAGGAAGGAGGAAGTCTATAAGCAGTTGGTAAGACCTGTGTAAGGACTCTGGGTGGCTGATGCTGGGTAAGGTGTTGGTTCTCAAGAGTACCTACTGTGTCTGTGTAGATGTCAGAGCTGGAGACTCTGCCCAGAGATGTGTCCCGGCTGGCCTACACCCAGAGGATCTTGGAGATTGTGGGTAACATCAGGAAGCAGAAGGAAGAGATCACTAAGGTGTGCGGCCATGCCCATGGGAGGGGTCATTTGGACAGACATGCCCAGAGGCAGATGTATTAAGCAGAGCCACACACTGGGCCTCACATTCTCTGGCAGTCAGAGCTTCATAGCCACACTCTGACACAGAATAGCTACACTTAGTCTACTCTAGCCTCCTCTGATGCAGTGACACGGTGACATAGGCCTGTCTAGTTGTGAGTGCATGTATGCACATGAGTACCCCTAGCTAGCTGGCCACCTTGTCAGACATGGACTCATGGCAACCCTTTTCTTTGCCAGATCCTGTCTGACACAAAGGAGCTTCAGAAGGAAATCAACTCCCTTTCAGGGAAACTGGATCGGACGTTTGCAGTGACTGATGAGCTAGTGTTCAAGGTATGGGGCAGACTTTTTAGAGTGCAAGAGTCAGAGTAAAACTGGGCTATTGTCTGCCCAACTGCTCCCTAGCTAGATTTGGCTTGGGCCCTGTGGGTGTGCTGGATTTGCTCTATGGAAGAAGAAGTCAGAGGTGGGAGAAGATGTAGGATGTGGAGGTAATGTATGCAAAGGTAGCCCACTGATAACATCAAGGTCCTTCTTTCTGGTCAGGATGCCAAGAAGGATGATGCTGTTCGGAAGGCCTACAAGTATTTAGCTGCCCTGCACGAGGTGAGGGGGAAGGTCTACCTGAGGATGGAAGGGGAGGGGGCATGCTGGGGTTAATTCTTCTGCTCTTACTATGTACAGAACTGCAGCCAGCTTATCCAGACCATTGAGGACACTGGCACCATCATGCGAGAGGCTCGAGATCTTGAAGAGCAGGTGAGGCCTGAGGGTGTAAAGGAACCCAAGGCAGGCATGGAATAGCTATTTGGTTAGTTTATGCTGAGAGAGGCTGTAGAATGAGACACAACCTACAGTGGAAGTCTCAGCCTTGCCTCTTAGTAGCTGAGTGGACAGGCCAGTGGCCTTTTATGAACCTCAGCTTTCTGCCACAGGCGTCCTCACACTTGCCTCAGGATAAATGACAATAGCTTCAGCTTGAATACTTCAGCAAACCCTGACATGTAGCATAGGCTGCATTAGTTAGAGGGACTGACATGTACAAAAGCCTGTTGGTGGAACAGAGCAGGCTGGTGTCTGAGGGGATTTTAAGGACTCTACAATGTGAAGGGTCCAGAGTGGCTATAAAGAAGGGAGCTGGATTTAGAAAAGAGATTTTTGGATGCTGAGGGATTGCATATTCACATTGTTTTAGATCGAGACAGAGATGGGCAAGAAGACCCTCAGCAACCTGGAGAAGATCTGTGAGGACTATCGAGCCCTCCGTCAGGAGAATGCTGGCCTCATGGGAAGAATCCTTGAGGCCTGAGGAGTCTTCAGCAGAAGTCTCCTCCCAGCCTTAGGTGGGACTTTGGAGTATTGGAGGTGGTGGCCAGTGCTTGCCCTAACTATTCCATCTATTTGCCAGAAAGTTCCTCCTGCTATAGCCTTGGACCCAGACCCTTGCCTACCTCTCTTCATGACCCTAACCCTTATCTGGACTGATTGTTCAGAATGTGTGAGCCATGCTGCAATTCAGTTGGGGAGAGGATTGTGACCTCATCCCAAATAAATGAAGGGCTCTGTCTGCAATCTAAGCTGAGGCATGGATTGGCAGTGGTGTGGGAGGCTGTCTGGTGGGACTCAAGAGACCCCCTGGAGTGCTGTATGCATATACATGGGAGAATAAGAAATTTGCAGGTGCATTCTAGTGGGCTTGGTTTTTAACTGAGCACATATGCTAGAAGCTTGTATCAGATCATGCATAACAGGTGTACATTTGTATGATTTTTTTCCCATCTTGGAAACCTTGAGGCTGTGTGTGTATGTTTTGGAGTGTGTGAGTGTGACAAGACTGTGATCATGTGAGTTTTTCAATGTGACTATATCTTTGGGGTTATTTGAGTATTAAGGCAGCTTCTTTATATTTAGGGTTTTGTTTTGAGTCCAAGTGACATTATCATAACCTTTGTGTAACTTCTCTAGCCATGGAGTGCTGTATGCATATGCATGAGAGAATAAGAAATTTGCAGGTGCATACTGAGGTGGGCTATGCGTATAATTGGTTGTGAAATCTCATTTTGGCTAGATATTATTACAGGGGCGTGGAATGGGGATTGAGGGCTTGGGCTGGGTCCCTATGAACAGCCTTGGTGCAGAGGATGTGATACAGGGGGGTAGTCCACTGGGAAGCAGGGTGCTTGGCAGAGAAGACAGTGGACAGCTCAGTTTTTGGTCCCTGTGGAAATGGCCAGAGCCTTTCACCTCTGCCTCTCTCACCCCAGTTTTGGCTTTAAGTAGAAGGACTGACATGTACAGAGGTCTGCTGGTGGTATAGAGTAGGTTGATATTTGGGGGGTGGGGATTGTAAGGGCAGGTGAAGAAACTAGAGTGGCTGAAAGTAAGTGGGGCTGTGATGAATAAGAGCTTGGAAAGGGGCTTTGGATGTCCTTTCTTTTATTCCTTGAGTATAAAAGTTTTGAGGTCAAGGGCTGGGTGTGAGTTTGGAGCACCTGCTGGGTTTCTGACTCCTCTTCTTGCGGAACTCAAACTCATCCACAGTCCACACAGCTCCCTTCTCACTCTCTACCCGCACAAAGCACTTGTGCAGGCTCAGGTTGTGGCGGATGGCATTCTGCGGAAGGAAGACCAGCAGGTCAGGGGAGGGGAAAACAAGTGGGCAGCCATCCTCTGGGTAGTCAGTCTCCTACCAACAACTGACCTCCTTTTCAACATGCCTCCTAGTCCTACCCTGCCCACACATGAGTGGGTATTTGAGGCCATCACAACCACTGCCACCTTGAGAGAAACTCACCTTCCAGGTGGCAGGGTGGTTTCTGAAGAAGGCAAACATGTGTGTGAACCAGTGGTAGATCTCATTGAGTGTCCGCTGCTTCTCAGGAGCCTCCAGGATGGCCTGAATTTTGAAGGGTGTAGGGGTAAGGTAAGCTCCCCAAAGTTAGGTGAGAAAGGCAGGGGCCTGTCCTAGATTGGCTGTAGAGAGTGAAATTGTGGGAGCAGGGGAAGATTTGGGGTAGAGATGATATGAAATGAAGGAGCAAAGACAGGATTATAGGAAGTAAAGTGTCAGTCCGAGGACTGGATCAGAAGTGGGGTGAGGCATGGGAGCAGGGAAAGTAGATTAGGTAAAGGATCAGGGGAATGGGATTAGATTAAGATTGAGGGCTGGAATCAGGTTAAAGGCCTATCATGTAGTAAGAGTTGGGCTTATATGGGTGTGAGGATTCAGGATTTGGGAAGGTTGAGAATTCAGGATTTCTTCCGGAATGGGGCCAACAATTAGGAAGGAGTAAAGGACGAGGTGAAGTTGAAGACTGGTGAAGAAATTAGTTAAGAATCAGGAGTGGGGGAATGCACCAGTAAATATAGGAGTGAGGGATGAAATTGAATAAAAAATAAATAAACTGATGTGTGGCATTAGGCCAGGAGTCAGAGGTGACTCCTGATTCTTGGTTCCAAAGTTACTGTATATTACAAGGATGTGGTTAGGATCAGGGCTAAGAGGGAAATTGTGGGATTAGGTCTCAGGTTAAGTATGGTGAAGGAAGGTCAACAAATTTGATCAATTTGGATTTAGGAACTAGATTAAGTAAAAGGTCAGTTATTATCATTGCAACTAGGTTATGGATCAGAATTAGCTTAGATTAAGGGCTCTCTATTCAGAAACAGGTGCAATGTATGGTATAGAGTAGGGATCAAATTAAGGTTCAGGTTTGACATTAGTTATGGGACTAGAATTAAAGTCTGTGCTCAAAATTCTGGGAAGGCATTAGGGCATTTCAGACAGGGGTAGGTGGATGGGAATGAGGTTAACAATTAAATTGGTTTTAAAAGGAAGGAGTTGAGGTGGGGTTTAACTGGAAGATTTATTGATGTACTAAAATATGTTGGGGCTGGGGAAATATAAAGTTAGGTTGGGGCTAAAGCTGGGGCTAAGGGGGAGACAAGGTGTTAGAGTAATTCCTGGAGTAGGTTTAGGACAAGATGCAGAGATAGGGCTAGTTCTTGGGCTATTTTGTAGGTCCAGGAAGGGGTTAAGTATCAGGATATCAAGAAAGGAATGGGTTTAGTCCTAAATTTGGCTTGCACTGGCCTGAGTAGTGGTTTAGGTTGAGGATGGGAACAAGGCTGGGATGAAGCTAGAATGAGTATCACACTTGAAACACTTCTTGGGACTCTTTGGGATTGGAGTTTGATAGGACAGGAGCCCACCAAGTAGTTAGACTGAGGTCAGGTGTTTGGTATGCAGATTCCCCACCCATTTTTATTTCTCCTGCCCTGCTTACCCATCGGATGAGAGTAGCATAAGTAAAAGGGGGCCGCATGTTGTGGAACTTGAAGTAGTCCATGTTGTGGAAGAACTCTGTCAGAGAGTGTGGAATGATGAGGCTTTATCCAGGACCTCCTAGTCTCTCATCCCCTGTGCTTTCCAATGTAGCACTCAAACTCATTGCTGTTGGGTTGGAACTGACCCATAGCTGACCCTCCAGCAGGTTTTCAGAGAGAGAACTTACATGGGAGAAGATTACCCATCTTTCTCCCTTGGAGTAGCTGGTGGATTTGAATCTCCTGCCTTTGGGTTAGCAGTGTAACTCCCTACCCTCTAAGCAACCAGAACTACAGGTCTCAAATATCCACCATTAAAATAGGCTTCAGTGAGCACAGTTACTGTTTTCTGAGAACCTGACATAAGTTTCATCACTTACTCTGCACAATTTCCACAAAACAGATTCTTCCTCAAGGTTTAAAGGAAGCAAAGTTGCTCATATACTAAAGGCATGAGGGGGTTAAGTGGGGAATCAGGATGAGATTTGAGGTCTGTGATGCTCAGGACTAGCAAGGGTTGCTAAGATTGAGTGGATTCATTAATTTATCCTGGAGAAGGAGAGTCCTTAGGAATGACTCAGTTCATTTCCTTCTTCCTGGTGACTGGATGAATTAGTTGAAGCCCTGAGTAGTTAGGCACAGATTAAAGCTTTAAAGGGAGACAAGTCTAGGACTAGACATTAGAAACCATAGGCTTTGGCTGTGGAAATCTGAGAGGAAATATTTGCAGAGATGCTTTTCTCCAAAGACTGGAGGGATTAGGGACGCTGTGTAAAGCACAGGGCATTCTTACCTGGGAATGTGCTATTTCCATGACTGCCCCAAAGGTGCCTCCTCACAGCAAATAGGCCATTGGAGGCCTCCCCAGGAGCAGACCAGGTGGCGTGGGCACTACCTGAGGTACCTGTGGCTGCAATGCAGCAGGAGTTCTTGTTGGAGGGTTCCTGGGGGGAGGGGAAACCTGGTGACATTGGGGCTTCAACTTTCTACTTTTATTGTTTTGACAAATGTCTTTAAAATCAAGGGTTCTTTTTGTCACTTTCAGTCTGACACAGAATCCCATGAACCTTGGAAGGTCACCCTAAACTTCCCTGGCTTTAGTTTTCCTCATCTATGAATTAAGGGTGATAATGATGCTGAATAAGTTAAAAGTGCTCAGAAACAGCAAGCACCCAGATTCCTGGAAATGGAACCTGTATAGCTGCATATGGCCCCAGCTAAGAAAGGCCCCCACTTTAATGTTCTATGCTGCTTTCTTGACATTTAAATAAGAAACTCCACATTTTGGGAACATAGAGTTCAGAAGGTTTATAAATGAAAGGTGATTATTTCCCAGATATGGCATGTTTGGAGCTGGAGTCAGGGATCACAGATCCCCAGGGCCTGCATGTGAGGGTAGGTTCTCCATCCCCCATATGTCTTGGTTTGCAGCCACTCACCGCAGATGGAGCTGTGGTCAGTGCCATCTTCCCAGCCAGGTGGGCCTGCATGGCACCTAGCTTCTCTTTCTCCAGTACCAGCTATAAGGATGGGCATACAAATTTGGCTTCAAGCTAACCTGTCTCTGCCACCTTTTCCCCAGCTAAGGATTTCCCTGCTCCCTCCTTTTATGCCACCCCTCCTGCTCTCATGCTGAGTGACATACATTAGTTTGCCCATCCACTTTCCAGAATCACCTGTTGTTCCAGAGATTGCACCATCTCTTTCTGGAGGAGACATTGTGCTCTGCCTTTCTCATCCAGGAGATGGTCTTCCTGGCAGTGCCTGCATAGGGAAAGATTCCATGTAGATGACCATGCAGGGCTAGCCTCATGGCTCAGTATTCAGAGATGGAGGGCCCAGATCTTCTGGGAATATATAGAGAACTGAGAATGTGCATAGAGAGTGTCAGGGCTGCTCAGCCCCTACCTTCTATCCCAGTTTCCCTCTCACTCTTGTCAACCCCTTTAACACATGTTACTTGGTACTTACAGTGTGCTAGGCCCTGAGATTGCCACTTCAGCTTTTTGGTTTGCTGAGAGTGAGCCATGTAGCATTATTGGAGAAGATGTATGTGTCAGGGGAAAGAGTTGAGGAGAGTGTAATAGTCATCATGAGGAACTCGCACTTTGGGGCTTCAGTAAAATCAGGCTCATGTGTTCACATGATAGGTGGCAGGGCCAAGGTATTGGAAATGTGGATTTTGGAGTGAGGCTTTCTGAGTTCAAAGCCCAGCTATGTCAGTAGGATGTGCCTGGTCTTGGCCAAGATACTTAATCTCTTTGGCCTCATTTGCCTTGCCTGTTAAATAGAGGTAAATATAGTATCACTCACTCACTGCCATCAAGCCAGGACCTACTCTACTCATAGCTGACACTCCAGCAGACTTCTGAGCCTATAAACCTTATAGGAAGAGACCACCCATCTTTATTCCATGAAGGGGTTGGTAGATTCAGAGAGGTATGGGCTTTAAGGTAGCATCGTAACTCCTGTTATTGTTAGGTGCCGTCAAATCAAGTACAAGTCTTAGCAACCCTATGAACAACAGGGAATCTCATACTATCCTATGCCATCCTCATTATCTCTGATACACTTGAGCAGTCACCATGTCAGTCCATCTTTTTATTTTATTTTATTTTTTTTTTTGTCAGTCCATCTTGATGGGGGTCTTCCTCTGTTTTGTTGACCCCCTCCTTCCAAGCATAATATCCTTTTCCAGTAAGAGACGAAAATTTGTCATCCTTGCCTCTAAGGAGCACTCTGGCTACACCTTTTCCAAGAATAGTATACACCTCTATTATCTTTCCTTATACAGATTAGAAAACTGAAGGCCTAGGAGGCTAAGTAAATAACTCACTAAGGTAACTTATGTAGGAGTTTCCAAGGTTACAGAGTAAATGAGTTTGATGGAGCCAGGATTGGACCTCAGTGTCTCAGCTTTTAGAGGAGCCATGGTGGCACAGTGATTAAATAAGTGGCTACTTAAATGAGTACTAGTGGGTGAACCTGCCAGCTGCTCCATCTACTTCTGTAAAGCCTGGGCAGAGTGAATGCAGAAGCTGAAGTTTCCAGGGCAGTTCTAACTGTCCTATAGGGTTGCTATGAATTGTACTTGACTGGATGGCAAGGTGCTTGATATTGGTCTCAGTGTTTACCTCCTTCATCTTACTGCCTATAACGGATGAGGCTAAAGTTGAGGCCTGCATTTCAGATATCCCCACACCTCTCAAATCAGGACACCCTTGAATGGGGGTGGGTCTGGGTTACTCACTTGAGGAAGTCCTCTGGCTCCTCAAAGACCTTCTCACATCCAGGCCACTTGCAGATGCCTTTTGCCAGAAGTGGGTAGGAACCCTGGGGTATGGCTGAAAGGGTACTAGGAAGACAGAGGGTGTCAGGGGAGCAGATAGCAGAGTGAGGGTCCTTTCCAGCCTTGTGTACTGACCTGTCCTTCCTGGATGCCTTAGGACTGGGAAAGGTGCACAGCAGCTTCGGTTCCCTGGACAACCACTCCAGGTTGGCCATGTTGATCCCTGGGAGGGAGGACAAGCCACCACTGCTGTGGGCAGGGCTCTGAAGCTTGACCCACAAAGCCTCTTGTTCTCAGCTTTCCACCCTCCTATGCCTCAAAAACTCTTTCAGGGAGCTCTGCTGTACCAAAATTCCAAGGCTTTAAATAGAGCAACATTTGCAAGTGCTAACACTTTGACTAACTTTGTAAAGACCTATAGTTCTGTGATTTTGATATTCTGCATCTTTAAAGTTCTGAGCCTGACCTTTTTTAGAGGTTGGCGTTTCCAGACTCTGAGATTTGACTGACCCTTTTTACCTTAACGACTAAAACTCAGAACAGCCTTTAACACTCATGTTCAAGGATTTAGAGTCTTAGGGGTTCTGTGAAACTGTAGGGTTGTGGGTTGTAGTGTTACCAGGTGGCAGACCAGATCGAGCCTTGAGGGAGAAGACTCCGGTAGCAGCGGTGGGAGATGGGAGGCCAATCATGGCTGGGCTTTCCAGGGGTTGCACCTGCAGCATAGAGGTCCGAGCATGGGCACCCATTGTTGAGAGCTGGGGCCATATATGAGCTTTGATTCAGCTTGCCTTAGGGCCCCCTCCCCAAATCTCACCCATCTGCTTCTCAACTTCCTCATCAGAGTCAGTACCTGATGCATGATGTGTGGTCTCTCCTGGAGGAGTGCCTGCAAGTAGGGTGAGGGGCTCAGCTGTGCTCTGGAGGGTGTCACCATGACCAGGGGCATGGTGGGCAGCTGAAAGAGGAGAAGGCAGGTGGGTGAGATGTTACCTTCATCTTCTGTTCTACATGTACTCTTAATGTCCACATGTCTTCATAGACTCTTCATCACAACCCACGTGATAAGTAACTCTGATCACCCTCATTTTACATGTGAAAAGAGGCTCAGAGAGTCTGGGTGACTTTTTCATGATCACATAGCAATAAGTAGCAGAACTGGTCAACTCTGTCGCTCCATCTCTTTGGGGTCCAGACCTCTCTCACATGAGGGTACTTGGTTGTACTTGGTTTCCTTTTCTCCTGAGACAGGGATTAGGTTGGACAAAGCCTTGAATCTCTGAGGCCTGATAAATGGGGATTTTCTTGGCTCATTGACATCTGCATAAGTCACAGACTTGTCTGGGACCCAGAAACCACTTCCTGTGCCCTAGGTGGGCCCCCTGCTCAGTGCCACAGTAAAGGTCTGCACCTGTAGGCCGAGGTACTCCACCCTGTATGTCCCATCCTGGACCTCACCTGCATCTGCGATGGTGGGAAGGGGTTCAATGATGAGGAGGAGGCATGGGCCCCACCTTGGAGGTCCCAGCCCTGGAAGATTTCCCCTGGGCCTCGGGCCTCCAACAAATCTGAGGTCTTGGGTGCAGCCCTCCAGTTGCATAAAGGCTCCAAGGGTGGACTGAGGGCCAAGGAAGGGGCCAAGGGCTTGGCTGGCCTAGAGTTGGGCATTAAGTCCTTGTTTGAAGGCAGGCTGTGGAGACAAAGAAGTTACAAATATTCTAGTGGTTGTTGTTGTTATGTGCCTTTGAGTTTTACCTGAATCATAGCAGACCCTTGAGCAGGTTTTCATTGGCAATGAATCATAGAGGAGGAGATTGTCCATCCTTCTCCCAAGGAGCAGCTGGTGGATTCAAACCATGTGCCTTTGGGATTGTAGTGTAGCTTCTTACTACTAGGCCACCAGGAAGGCCTTATATGAAATATTCAACTATCTGACTTTTATGGGCACTTCTGGTCAGAGTAGACATTGGCTGGCACATGTCCTGAAGCCCTCCCCAACTGAACCCCAGCTCTGGTTATGTGTACACATGCACTCACATATTGCTATCAGGAACATAGTACATATGTGTCTCCATATACACTCCATATGTAGACCAGCATGGGTCCAACACATTGAGCAGGGGCAGATCTGGTTTGGAAATGTCCTCCAAGGTGATAGTGGAGGAGTTGGGGTAGCCTCAGTCAGGATAGGTCTTAGTTCCTGCCTCTCCTCATCTGAGCGCTGTCTCCAAGCCTTAGTCTCAAATCTTCCCTGTATTCTCTATGAGACAGCCATATTAACTACTCAGGAGCTGTTCCAACTTCCTAAATGGAGCATTTTACTGTGACTTGGACATATCTGGCAGTAAAGGAAGGCCAAAACTCAGAATATTCATCTAGCTGCTGTGAGTGAGATAGGCTATAGAAAGGCAAGGGCAGAACCAGGGGGATTAGTGGGAAAGCCACCACAGGAGTCCAGGAAAGCAATGGCAGCGGAATAGACTAGGATGGGAGCTGTGAAGTTAGATTCTGGGTATATGTTGAAACTAGAGGTAACAGAATACGCGGGTGTCTTGGGTATTGGCGATGAGAGGGACAATCAAGGTGACTTCTAGGTTTTAGGCTAGGCACCTGGGAAAAACAGCTGACATTAACTGAAATGGGGGAAGTGGTGGGGAGCAGGTTTGGGAGGATGATTATCTTGCTGTGGACTGACATGGAGTCTGTTGTTATAAGCAAGTGAAAAATATCAAATGGACAGCTGGATAGAAGAGTCTGGAGCTCAGGGCAAGATTAGAGTGTGATTATCTCTAGAGCATGGCAGCAAGCATGGCAGTTGCCAGAAAAGGGGAGAGTTAGACTATATCTTTCTTTTTTTAGGCTATATCTTGAACCAGGGCCTGTAGACTCTTTTTGATCATTTTACACCAAGCCTTTCTTCAGACTGGTCCTTTTCCCTAGAATGCTTAGTTCTCTTTTATCCAAGTCACACCAGGCCTGCTTCTACATTATCTTCATTCAGAAATTCCTCCATACTAGCTACAGATACCTCTGCAGAGCCCTAGAACTTTACCCTCCTTAAGCAGATGGGGTTCTGTTTCTCTCGATCCTGTAATCTCAGTCTGATAGGAAGTCAGAGCTGGAGGGCATGACCAGGTGGAGTCCCACAGTCCTTGATGACTTGTGACTTCTACTTCTTTCTCTGTAAAATGCACATATGTACATTTCACAAGCCCCTTCTTGGGTGAGTGTGTGTGTGAGTAATTTCCCACATTATCTTACATTTGGTTGGGTGGACAACTGCAAACAGTATTCCACGGGAGGGTTCTGGAAGAGAAATTGCCCCTTCCCTTTTTTGCTGTCCTGAGGTGGTCAGAGCTATGCTGTTGAGAGAAGTAAGTGTAAGTCCATGTGAGAATCCAGCTTCTAAGCTTCTAGAGGTTTTAGAATATTACTATGTGAGAATCAGGAGAATGTGAAAATGCCACTGACCCTGTGGAGATGAATAGTTGAGTGAGAGTGAATTGGTGTTTTGACCACTCTAGCCTGGCTCATAAGCCTGGGTCACTTCTGAAACTACATGGAGACTCAGCAGGAGCTTATAAAATGCCTCCAAAACATATCTAGAATATCCTGAGGGGTAATATAGATACACGCTCATTGTTTTGTTTTGTTTTCTTTTTAAAAAAAGAAAACTATCTAGTATGGTCTGTCTGGTGGGGTACTTGGAGGGCTAGGCTTGGGCAGCCAGCTTCCTGCACTGTCTGTTGGGGCATCCCTTTCTGACTAGGTTTCTAAGAAGCTGCATGGGGGATGTTTCTGGGACATAGATTGTGTTCTCATATCGGGGTCTTTATCTGGGCTCTGTTGTCACAGCCTCCGACTTCCCCAGATTTTTCTGCCATTGACGTCATGGAAACCGGATGCGTTGGGCTTCATCCGCAACAAGGAGGAAGAGAAAGGGGCAGACACCCCATACCACAAGTTTCGTTCCGAGAATTGGCTAGCCTATCCTGTAGCCAACCTAGCCTAGGTGGGTAATGTGGGTGCTGGCGGATGTGGTAGTGACATTGATCTGGCCACTGAAACAAGTCTTGGATTCTGTATACCTATGGCCCTTCACAAGGTCATGGAAAGGGCTAAGGTTTGAAGCTTTGAAGGTGCCATGGAAGCCCTCACAGATACTAGGACCTTTTGGATCCTCAGATGGCACAACTCCACACCTCAGAATTGTAGAATATTATTTCTTAGATTTCTTTGACTCAAAATCGGTTTCTTTGGCATCCATGAGTCCAGTGCCTGTGACCCTGTTATCCTCCAAAATCACAGAAACTCATGAAGCATAGGAAGCCTGATACTTCCTAGAAGTGCCTGTTGAACAGGTCCATAATTGTAGCAAATTAACTTTCAGCATCCCTTGTAAGCTCTATGAAGGTAGGAGGATGAAAGATTATCCTTCTGAACAGCCTAGGGCCTGGCTCTACTCCCAGTAACTTTAAATGCCCTCAGGCCCATTATATATAAATTAGGACAGTAATAGTACCCATCTTCCAGAATTAATGCACATGAAATGCTTAGCAGAATGTCAATAAGTGGACATTTTCAGGGCTTCATTCTCCCTGTCTGTTCTGGGACAGTGTTCCCAAATTCATAGCTACCCCAATAAAGAGAAAGGAGTGAGAGAATGTTAAGGCAGGGATATTTTCAGTCAGGGCTCCATGGTGGGAGCAGAACAGTATCTGGCCTTTATCAGTACAAACCTTACTACTAGGTTCTTTGGGTGAGTGAGGTCGGCTCTAGGATAGAGGTCCTAGGGACTGGCACCAGCTATCGGGATACAGCTGAGCTCTGCCCACAGACAGTCTGAATGATCTATATCCCTCCAGTATGGCCACCTTCTGGACAACTAGGCCTCTTGACCCTTAAGTCCCCAGGGCTGTATCTTGTGAAACTATCGAGACAGTGACACAGAGGAGATAGATACAGTCAGTGAAGGACAAACAGGGATGAAAGAAGATATGCTACAAAAAAGAATAGTTGCTGGTCTTTAACAGAGGGACTGATGCTGCCTGGAAAAAATGGATAAGATGCTGGGGAGACCCACAGTTGGGTTTTATATTGTAAACCAGCAAAACTATATGTCTCTGGTATAAGAGCAGACATTGAGTGATAAGGGTAGAAAGTTTAGACACAGGCTGATATATATATATATATATATACACACACACACACATACATATACACACACACACACACATTATATATATATATATATATATATATATATATATATGAATCTAGTTTGTGATGAATGTAGTATTTAAGACTGGATTATGGCAGCAGCTAGATCGTTTTACATGTTTCTGGGATAATTAGTGGGGAAATAAATATCACCACCATAATATACCCTAAAATAAATTACAGATCCATTAAAAAGAGAAATAATAACATCTGATTTGGAGCCCTGGTAGTGTAGTACATGACTGGAAGGTCTATGTTTCAAATCTGCCAGCTGCTTTACTGGAGAAAGATAAGTAGTAGTCTCCTCCCATAAAGATTTACAGCCTTGGAAAGGTGATGGAGGGTTGTCATGAGTCAGAATCGACTGAGTAGGGTTTGGTTTTGATTTAATGCTGATTTTTGATTTGTGTGCGAAATCTTGTATTAAGCACTTAAAATGGTTTACTTAAATCTCACAACAATCCTTTGAGGTTGATATTATTATTGTTATCATAATACATGTGAGGAAATGGGGGTACAGAGACATTAAGTGCCTTGCTGGAAATCACACAGGTGTCTTGAAGTGAGGTTGAGTTTGTCCAGACAGTCTAGCTCTAGTACTCACACTCTGAAACCTCCACAGTAAATGGAATAAATTAAGCAATGAAAGAGACTAAAAGCCAACAAAAGTGAACATATATTTTGTTTCCAAGTGGGAAAGGACTTCCTAAGCACAAAATCAGATATAGAAACCACAGAAAAATACTAACATGTTTGAATACACAGAACAACATCACTCAGCTAATTCATTGCCATTGAATTGGAACCAACTCATAGCTGACCCTCCGGGGTCTATAAATCACACAAGCCGGAGCTCTCGTGGCTTAGTGGTAGGGAGTTGTGCTGTCATCCCAAAGGCATCTGGTTTGAATCCACCAGGTGCTACATGGGAGAAAGATGGTCAGTCTGTGTGATTCACAGCCTCTGAAAACCTGTTGGAGGGGCAGCTACAAGTTGGTTCCAAATTGATGGTACTTGACAATATATTCCATTGGAGGAGACTGCCCATCTTTATCCCATGGAACACATCTGTCTGATAGATTAAAACTGCCAGAGAGACTGCTTTTGGGTTAGCAGTGCAACTCATGGATTACACCACCAGAGGTCCCTTACACAAAACATCATGAACATAACAAAAGCATCAGAAACAAGCAGATCATGACTGATAAAAGATGGTTCCTATCCTTTCCAAGTAAAGAGCTGTCACAAATAAACAAAAAATATGAACACACTGTAAGATAATTTTTAAAAAGTACAAATAGCCAGTAAGCCATAAAAACAATCAAATAATACAAATTTCAACATGGCAGTAGTATTTTTCTTACCTGTCATACTGGTAAAGTATTAAAAACTGTTAATACCCACTCAGGGTTAATTTGATTGTAGGGTACATAAAACAGGACATTTTAGAAGAACAG